AAAAAAAAAATAAAACAAAACCTGTGACGTAAAAAGGATTTAATTTAGATTCTAAGGTACAAAAATTTCTTTTAAAATTTATAAAGTTAGAAGGGATTTTGATCTGATAACTTCTTTCGAAGTCCACTAGAGTATACCTTAACATTGAATAATATTTCTTATTAAAATATTCAATGTAACTACCGTCTACTCGTTGATCTTTTACAGTAATATTTTCACGTATTACTGACTTAGATTCGCGATAGCCCATTACTTTTTCAAGAATCTCTTGGCTTGTTACTATACCTGAGTAATTAGTTCAGCCACCCATATATTTTCATATATGGCTTAGTACCAAGAGCTTTAGGGTGTTCCCGAAATTGGATAGTTTATCCCAATATATAGATTTCCCAGATCAAATTTTAGGATTATGTGGTGCTAAGATTAAATTAACAGCTAATAATATAATAGCTAATATAGGTATAAAGATAATAAAAAAAGTTGTACTTGTCATTTATAAATTAAAAAGTATTAATGCTAATATATTAGTTAAACTTAATAATTCTTCAGGTATAAAAATAAATAATGTTATTACTAATGTAATAACTGAAATAGATAAACTTAACGAGGTTGATATAACAATGTTGTTTATTTTAATATTAACTTTTTTAACAATAGAATTTTTTTCAGTTATTAAACCATCTGCATTAAAATCCTTTAGTTCCTCGTTTATAATATAATCTGGTCTATCAAAAAAGATTTGTTTTATTATAGCTAAATAGTATACAGCACTTATAACACTTGTTAATATAGCAACTAAAGCCATAAATATGTACCCATTATCAATAGCTGCACTTAAAATCATCTGTTTACCAAAGAACCCTATTAAAGGTGGTATTCCTGCAAAAGAGAATAAAGTTATACCTAAACTTAAGGCTATTATAGGATTTATATAATAATACCCTTTCAATTGATCAATAAGCTGAATAGGAGAATTATTAACATCACTTAAATTATCATTGTTTTTATTAGTATCTTCTTGTTTTCCAATAGTCTTTGTAGATTTAGCATTATCTACATAACAATATAGAGAGTATCCTATTGTTAATATTAAGATAAAAGCATTTAAGTTCGAGACAGAATATTGAATTAAATAGAACATAAAGGCTTGTGTTGACTCTACAGTGTGTATACTTAAACCTAATAATATAAATCCTACGTGTGATATTGTACTAAACGCAAAAAGTCTTTTTATCCTAGATTGTGTTAATCCTACAACAGTTCCTATTACTAAAGATAAAAGAGAACTAAATAATAAGCTTGTGGTTCAAGAAAAATCTAGGTCCAGTACTGGTTTACTAGTATAATGAACTAATTCTAATAAGAAAACAAAGATAGAAATTTTGGCAATGATAGCCACAAAAGTAGTAACAACTGTAGGAATTGCATCGTATACATCCTTAAAAATAAAATTTATCATACAAATATGCCAAACTTTATACAGATAAGTAAATAAGAAGAAAAACCATAATTTATATACATTTAAGGTATAGAGTAAAAAATTTTTTCCGGTGTAGTTCAATTAATATTATAAAACCATTAAACATTATTTCGACCTTTATTCATTCCAGCCTTAATAAGTTTAATTTGTTCAAATCCGGGTTTAGTTAGATGAGCTTTAGAATTCATAATTTTAAGAGCCTTCTCTCAGTCAGAAAAATCTTGTGCTTTAACTCCAATAATAGGATATTTAATGAAAAAGGGTAAAATTTATTCCTGTATCTCACTTAAATTACGACATATATATTCTGCATGATTCTTAAAAGTATAACATTTTCCACATCCAGCCCTGCAGCCCCCAGCTACTTGTTGCTGGAGGGCTAAATATTCAACGAAATACTTCATAAGAGGAAGGTCTCGAGAGTGTTGAGTTAAAGCAAAGACCAATTCAACACGACCTCCTGCAAAAGAATCATTAACTCTCAACTTGATTGCAAAAGTACCATCTCCAGAGGCGAATCCAGCCAATCAGTAAGGGTCAATTGGAAAGGCCTTAGTTGCATCGATTATAGGTCTTTCCACAGGGACATGTTCAGGGAAAGCTTCTTTCAATGCTGGAGTTAACCCTCTGTTCATAGAAGCTCGTCTATTCATAATAGCTTCTAAACCTGAAACTGTTAAATGTTCACCTCGCTTCATCATAAGAACAACTTCTTATAAAAGTATATAGTCCGCAAGCTTTTGAGTGATTAAAGGGTATTTATCAAAATGAGGAAGAATAACGGATGCAATTTGATCTAAAGAACTTACCGTATAATCACAACAACCGTTTCTCTCTTTACTTACTCGTCCGACCCCACCAAAAAATTCTTTAATTTGTTTTAAGATTTTAACGTCTTTTTTGTGGAGATTTATAATAAAATTGGCTTCGATCTTTCAACCTCTGTTAGTTCTAGGTGCTTTCCTAATTTTTTTTCTAGGCCCCCCTCTCTCTGAGAGAGAGAGGGGGTCCAAACAGCCCCGAGGGGCTTACCCTTTGGGAAGATCCCCGATGGGGCTCATCCCGCAGGGATAGTAATTTCTCAGAAATTACGTCGAAAAAAAATAAGCGA